GGCCGGGTGGCCCGCTGCCTCCCGCGCGGTGCGGGCGGCGCTTTGCGCGGCGTTGCCATTGCCTTGGCCTGGCCTTGCCATTGGCATTGGACTGGCCTTGCCATTGCCTTGGCGTTGCCCTGCCATTGAGCGTTGCCCCGCCATTGGCCTTGCCTTGCTATCGCCTTGCCATTGGCCTTGCCTTGCTATCGCCTTGCCATTGGCCTTGCCTTGCTATCGCCTTGCCATTGGCCTTGCCTTGCTATCGCCTTGCCATTGGCCTTGCCTTGCTATCGCCTTGCCATTGGCCTTGCCTTGCTATCGCCTTGCCATTGGCCTTGCCTTGCTATCGCCTTGCCATTGGCCTTGCCTTGCTATCGCCTTGCCATTGGCCTTGCCTTGCTATCGCCTTGCCATTGGCCTTGCCTTGCTATCGCCTTGCCATTGGCCTTGCCTTGCTATCGCCTTGCCATTGGCCTTGCCTTGCTATCGCCTTGCCATTGGCCTTGCCTTGCTATCGCCTTGCCATTGGCCTTGCCTTGCTATCGCCTTGCCATTGGCCTTGCCTTGCTATCGCCTTGCCATTGGCCTTGCCTTGCTATCGCCTTGCCATTGGCCTTGCCTTGCTATCGCCTTGCCATTGGCCTTGCCTTGCTATCGCCTTGCCATTGGCGTTGCCTTGCCATTGGCACTGCCTTTGTCGTTGCCTTGCCATTGCCTTACCATTGCCACTGGCATTGCCCTGCCACTGCCTTGCCACTGGCGTTGCCCTGCCACTGGCATTGCCATTGCCTTGCCATTGCCACTGGCGTTGCCTTGCCACTGGCGTTGCCACTGGCGTTGCCTTGCCATTGGTATTGTCTTTGGCGTTGCCATGCCATTGCTTTGCCGTTGGTGTTGCCCTGCCTTTGGCATTGCCTTGCTATTGCCCTGCCACTGCCTTTGGCGTTGCCATTGGCATTGCCACTGGCGTTGCCTTGCCATTGCCTTTGGCGTTGCCCTGCCTTTGCGTTGCCTTGCCGTTGCCTTTGGCGTTGCCGTTGCCTTGCCATTGCCTTGGCATTGCCTTTCCCTGCTGGCCGCTCCTCCAGGAAGAACCGGCCACAGCCCTCGGCAAGAGGCTTCCAACGCGCCGAAAGGCTCTTCCTCCTCTCAGTTGTGTTCAGGCGAGAGGTGCTCAGAGGGCCCAAAGGCCACCAGAGGATCGCCTGTGTCCGGCAGGACGGCCGGCAGAGCCCCAGTGGCAGGGGCTGCCTCTGCCCTGAGCCTCCATGGAGCAGCCCTTGGCGTCCTCCACCAGCCCGGATGGCTTTTACCTCGGAAACCTTCCACCCCCTGGGTCACGAACACCCTGCCCATGTGCTTAATCTGTAAGCCACTGTTAAAATGCGACCTACTGTTCCCCTTCTGTCTGGCTGTTAACCTCTTTTAGGCTGTATAGCAGAACACGCACCGCAGAAAATGTGCAATTTCCAGATTTAGCTCCCTGTCTTAATTAAAAGCCAGTTTAAGTGGCACGATTTGGAGCTGCCTTAACACAATGAAAGGTGGGGGATAATAGCCCTTGGGGGCTGAGTGCCAGCTGGTGTGGTTTTATCAACAGTTTATTTGCGATAAATCCCGCACGTGGGCCAAAGCGTCCGGCAGACGCTGGGCCTCGTCGCCGGCGCGCCGTTGCGGCCTGAGGGGAGACGGAGCGGCGC